CTCGTTCCAGGCAGAGCGGTGTGAAGGATCTTTCTTGTGCGTGATTTTGTGTGGTGTATGTGGGCCTTGACGTTGGTGCAGAAGTAGCAGCGGCAGCGGCAGCGGCAGCGGCAGCAGCAGCAGCGGCAGCATGTGATTTGGCTCAGCCAGAACACTGGACGCTGCGGCCGCAGCCCCCTTGCTTGCACTGCAATGTCATCCCACCCTGTTTGCAGCCAAGCCCCAACCCATCCCCCCTCCAACCCCCACTACCCACCTCTTTCCCGCGCAGGTCACCGAGCGCCTCACGAGCGGCCCCCAGCTGCCCCCCATCCACGGCGCCGGCGGCGCCGGCGGCGCGACCCCCGGCCCCGGCGGCCCCGGCGGCGGCCGCGTGAACGAGCTGTCCATGTCGTTTTACAACAACCTCCTCAGCCTGCCGCTGGCCTTCGGCCTGATGCTGCTATCCGGCGAGCTCTCCTCGTTCTGGCGGGAACCCGCGCTGTCCCGGCCCAGCTTTGCTGCATATGCGACGCTCGGCGGCGCGTTCGGCTATGCTATAAGCTTCACTTCGATCTGGTACGTCACAGTCACGACGGCGACGCTTTATTCGCTGACCGGGTCAATGAACAAGGTGCTGGTGGCGGTACTCGGCATATGGATGTTCAACGAGTCGACAGCGCCCCAGAATCTGGCGAGCATCGGGATCGGGCTGGCGGCGGGCGGGCTGCTGCCGTACATCAAGATGCGGCAGGCGGGCGGGCACGGCCACGGCCACGGCCACGGGCGCGGCGGGGCGGGGGACGGCGGCGGGAAGAGCAGCAGCGCGGGCGGCGGCGGCGGCGGCGGGTTGTGACAGCGGCCCGGCCGGGGGCGCGCGGCGGCGGGCGAGGCGTGCCCGGGCGAGCGCGCAAGGTGCTGGCGCGCTGCTTGCCATGCGTTGCGAGGGGCATTGTTACCCTGTGGCAGCTGCGCTGACTCGTAATTTCACGCCCCTTGGCTGTCACACACGCCCCCCCTGCGCCATTTTTTGGGAAAACCGTCCTGCAAATCCACTTGTGTATGTTCTTGCTGTCTCACTGCCGGTCATCCCTTTGTGCTGCTAGTTTGAGCTGTTGCGTGCAATTTATTAGGCATATGCAGGGATAGCTGTCAGCATCGCACCGCCTCTTCCTGGCGCCTCCCACCCCCCCGCAGTCATGCATGTGCACACGCACGCCTCTTCCAAAAACGCACCAGGCCTGGTGCATCAGAATGCGAATGGTCACCCAAAGTAACAATTGTACTTGAACGTATGAACATCTACGGGCCAGAGGTGCGTTTGACGGCAAGCAGTGCTAAGCGTGCCAGGCCCCAGCCCTGACACACCAACGGCATGCTGTGCGTGCTGGGTGGCGCAGCGCCACGCGTTTGTGGCCTGACTCGCACACAAAAAAAGCCTCGCAGGAGCCGGGAGTCGGCTCCCAACACAGAGGCAAGGCTGCATGTCGCATGGATGCTGGATGATCGGAGCTGTGATACACACACACACACACACACACACACACACACACACACACCACAGACACACACACACACACACACAAACGCACACACGCACACCCAAGCATTCACACACACGAATACACATGCACGCTCACACAGTCACACACGCACGCACATGCAAGCTCACACACACACACACACACGCACACTCAGATACACACGCACAGGGATTAGGCTAATGCTGAATATGTATTTAGCTGCCACGAACACGCAAGAATAAATGGAGAAACGGCCCCCAAGCTGACTTTTTGCAGGATTGATGATATGCACGCCTTTGCAGCGCGATTCGACGCGGCTTGCACAAAGGCTAATGAAGTGGGGGAAGGGCGGCGGCTCACAGCCGGCGCGCCGGTCAGAACAGAGAGGCAGCCCGATGGCCGCGTCATCATAGGGGTAGCTGCCAAACTATGAGTCATCGTCAGGTTGATAGACCCGGGCGAACGCCGCAGGCCTGGCCTAAGTCGTGATTATAACTCCAGCCGCCAGCCTTTGCAGTTCTATCGCCAACAGCTGCAGCCGCCGCCGAAACCTCCCTGCAGCTGTTTTACGCGCGGGCGCAACCACGCCCGCGCCTCGGCCCGCACGCGCCCGCGCCGCCGCCGCCCGCTGATCAGACGAGCTACTGCCGCCGCCGCCGCCGCCGCCTGTGGTGCCGCGTGTCGTTGATGTTGACCATGGTGTCTGTGATGAAGTGCTCGTGGCGCTTCCTGTGGATGCGTTTGGGGTGAGAATTCCGGACAAGGGGCGCTTTGGGTTGGTTTGAGGGGGGGAAGGAGCACTTTTGATGTTGGTTGGTTGATGGTTTGGGTTTGGGTTGTGATGTGGGGGTGTAGAGTCAAGGTCGCACATGTGTTTTGGGGTGCCTCGTCGAGGCGAGGGCGCGGTGTGAGCGAAAGAGCCACGTTTGGGATGAATCGTGGCTGGGGTTTGTGCTGTGAGGTGTGGGCAGGCGGGGCGGGCGCGGCAGGAGGGGCCAGCGATGCAGGCGGCGGGGAATGAGAGGCGTACACACAGGTTTGAGAGTGGCGCCTGCGGTGATGCGAGGGCGCAAAGGAGGGCGGGGCCCTGAGGCGGGGCGTCTCCGCGTGCCCCGGCTCCCACCTCTCGCAGAACCCCCTTTCGCAAAACCCCGGCGCCGCGCCTGCAAAACCCTGGCGCCCCGCCGCCAAACCCTGCAACCAGACCTGACTGAGAGGTAGGCCGCGAGGCCGCCATGTCTGCAACCCCAGGAGCCCCCCCTGCCGAATCCCAGAAGACCCATGGAAAACCCTGGAGCCCCGCCTGCGGACCTATGGGGCCGCCCTTTCAGAACCCTGGAGCCCCTGTTGCAAAGGCTGAACTCTTGGAAAACCCTGGGTCGCCCCTGCACAACCCTCC